GTAGGGAACAAGGAAGAGGGAGAGAAAGGGAAAGATTCAGCTTCTCTCAATATATTGAAACACTTAACCTCCGATATTTAAATCTTCAAATGATACAGACTGATTTCACTTTACATTTAAGAAACAATCACAAGCTAAATATTCTGAGTATATATATTCTGGAGTGCTGGGAACACTAAAAACCGATCTCTAAGCCCTTCAAGTATTGCTTTTTTGTAGTAACATGAAATAAATTGTGTTTAGAATGTGTACTGTAAGACCTTGACTAAAGAAAGTAACTTATTTTACTTACATATTAGTTTAGAAAATATTCAAAAACAAGAAGCAGAGGAATTTTTATAAAAACCAATATTAATGGGAAGATGTACAAGAGTCGACTCAGACAAAGGCTTGGTAGATTCATCACCTGTAAAGAATTTACATACAGAAAAGTAGTTTAGTAAATAAAGATTTTGAATGATTGATTTCAAACTAATTACAAGAAAGGAGTTACAACTAAAATTGTTGCCTACTAATCACACCAGAATGTTAATTGTCAGCATGTGATAGTCATTATATAAAGAATGATGCTTAATTTAGGTAATTTGGATAAAACTGTTGGGCTGTCGGAAAAGTTGTGGCACATTTTGGCATAGAAAAATACATCAAATCTTTTCTGAGGATCCAATGGGCACCTTCACTCCACAAGTATAATTTGCATCCTGTGTTATAAATACCATGTTTAATTAGAGATCTTTTTTCTCAAATATGTAAATACTGACAAAAGACTTAGAACCAGAAACCAGTGATGGATACAAAGGTTTTTCTATCTCAGTGACTGCTCTGAAACTGAACTGAAAAGCAGGTACTTTGTTTTTATCACAGTTTCCATCATTAAAATATATAGCAAAGAGACAGAATTTTAAAAAGACATGTTACTGATTGAATAGTTGGGTTTTGCCATTATTTTAATGGTAATGATTACAAGCATTGGAAATACCCTAAGCGTGTTTAGCTTTGGCTCTGGTGGTTGGCTCTAAACGTAAAAGAGAAATGTTTGTTTGTCATCTTGCCCTGGTACTCCTTTCTACTTGTTCCTCGTTCCACATTTTTATCTGTAAAAGTAGAAATATTCTTTTTCATGATGAAATGTCAATCCCTTCCTGTCTTCTCTAAGCGAGGCCCAAAATTAATATCAAGTGTGTGCATAGAGGTTGGAAGACCAATTGCATTATTCAAGGAAGGGTTGACAGGATACTATTTTGTTTAAAAATATTGGGTCATTGGAAAACTCATGACATGTTTTTCTGTGCAAAAATAGGTCATGACTTTTCCGATGATCCAATGAATGCCTTGTATCTTATTGGAAGAAGTTTACTTCCTAATAACCTGAAAGACAGTAATTTTCCTAGTTACCTCATGGGCTAGTTAAAAATTGAGAGAGTCTGACATAGAAATAGTATGATAAAGAAGACATATACACCATTTAGTTTGATGCAGGATGAACAATTTTGCATTTTATTTAGTCAATGATCACTACATTCATAGCAAGAGCATTGATATGAAAGCCCTAACTTCTAAGACTGGCCAAGAGTGCTGTGTGGTGGACCATGTTGTGAGCCATTTGGCTTCTCTTAGATGTCCTTTACTCTTCTGCTAACTAGATGGTTGTTAAGGCCTCGCAAAATTATAAAAGCCAATGATCCGAGATTTCCAGTTGCTTATTCTGTGTGCTGTGGTTCTGGACTTTGTTAGTATTAGTAAATCCTTTACCTCATTATTTTCTGCAGAAGACTAATCATCCCTTTAGAAAATAAATTTTGCTCATTTTAAATAGCACTATTTAAAACATAAAGAGTAGTTAAGTAAAATCTAAAGATTAAAGTAACTAAATGTTTGGTAGAACTTCAAACATTACAGTTTGGATATGATATTTTAGCACATTTTCTACACTGGCCCAGGCTTGGTCAGGATGAGATGGCCATTCCTCAAAGACCCATGATCATCCAGTTCAGGACAGCAGTCCAGAAGGCACACAAAGGACTTTTTCTCCCTCCCCTCCCCCCCATTTTTTAAAGTTCTTTGCCATAGGCATGTGCACTCACCCAAAGAAGAGAGAAACAGTGAAAGGGAAAGGGAAAGATCACTCTCCAGGGGGATCTCCATGCCCCAGTCTCTTCTCCATTTTCCTCCTGAGATTCAGGGTATGCATGCGCATGGGTCCAGTATGATTTTCTTTTTTTTGTTTTGTTTTCTATATTATTTTAATTTCATTTATTTATTTATTATCATTATAATCTTGTTCATATTACATTGAATTGCATATAACTTTACAGTGTATTACATTGCTTTTTAAAAAGGGAATGTCATGCATGTCAGTCAATACTGAGACATTAAAATCCCTACTTGATCATTCAATATCTTTTTCATTGTTTTTCCCGTTCATTATTATTATTATTATTATTCCAATTATTTTTTTAACCAGTTAATCACTATTTCTCATTTTGCTTGTAAAAAGACTTTACCCATCATGAAATACTTCTCAGACCAATCTAGTTAAGAATACTATACATGTCATCATCAACAGGTATCTGTGTCCCACTAATGCCATGCCTCTCTATTTGTTCTCTTGCTATCTTCCTCTGTCCTCTTCTCTTCATCCCCCCCATTCCACACTGTCTTATTCTCATTAAGTATTTTCACTGCTTTTATGTCCTCCAATATTTCGCTCTCTACCATAGAGTGTGTATAGTCGGTATATATTAAGTGGATACATTCAATATCTTTCTTTCATAGCCTGGTTTACGTCACTCAGCCATAAATACTCCATAACTGACCACTTTTCATCAAATGCCAGGATCCGGTATGATTTTCAAGTTGCCAGGTCTGGGACTCACCGCAGTCAGCCGTGTAGGAGTCCAGTGCCTTAACCACTAGGCAACCTGCTAGCCCCACACAGATGATTTTCTGCTGTTCACGTTGCCCAGCTTTGAACTTGGCTCCACCACAGACTCACTTGGACCTTTGGCACTGCAAGGTTTTGAGCTTCCATTTCCTGATCTGTGAAATGGGTGCTATGACCCAGAGCTCGCCCCAGAAAACCACTGAAGTTAAAAGGAGCCAGTTCATGGGGGCTCTGAGAAGAGCTTTAGCACATACAGACTCAACAGATGCTGCCCTTCATCCCTTTCTGAGCAATGGTCCCTTTGCTCTGAACTTCTGTGCCAGTACTTGTCCATATCACACAACTCGTCACTTAGTGTCATGCCGCAAGACATCTGCCATGTCTACAGCAGATGTAGGCTTGGAGTGATCATTTTCCACAATTTTTTTTCTTTTTCAGGAAAATTGGACAGCATTGAAAGTAATATGGATGTCTCCTAGACCTGTATCTATCAGTTTGTTAGTTTGCTCATAATAGGGTCTTTCTTTTCAGATAAAGTACATATAGGTCAGGATCTGCAGATGGTGTAATGGCTGCTATACTGGACTCCCACATAGTTGACTGCAGCTTGAGTTCTGGACCCAATGACTTAGGACTCACACTAGGCATATGTGCACACATGCCAAAGATCCTGAGAGGAGAATGGAGAAGGGATTGCAGTGTGGCCATCCCCCCTGGGGCGTGACTTCTTACTTTTTGTCTTTCTGTGTCTCTAGCGAGTGCACATGCCCTATAACAAAAATCTCTCAGAAAAAAAAAAGGACATACAGGGTTCAGAAGATTGTCATTTACAAACCCCCACCTCCCCCCACCCAGTGGAGTCATAGGACTGTCTGGGTGGGGAAATCTCAGAGGAAAGGGCAAATATCGCAGGAGGGGTCAAATCACAGGACAGGAAAGGCCAATTTTTATTGTCCAAAACCAAAAGAGGCTAGTTTGTGACAACATGCAAATACATTAAATTGTCACAGTTTTATATTTTAAACATTTTCTTATGCAACCATTCCATTCTCAGTGAATTTCTAAGAACTGACTGGTAGAGTATCTGAACACAAAATCATAACAAGGAATAAAATGATCGCGCTGAATACTTTATGTGTGTGTCTCTCATACTGACTTTTCTCTGCCTTACTCTCCCCGAAGTACAATAGGTCTTTCTTGTGAGCAAAAATTTATGTTTGTAACTGTAGTCTTTCCTCCTAGCATTGCTAAATAGGTACTTTTCAGCTGGTCTCCAGCCTCAGTTTTTCTAATATTCTTTAGGATCAAATTATC